ACAATGTGCAACCTGTTGGCACTGAAACCACCACAGCAAACCCAGAGAGCAGTGGACAGTAGAGATGGCAACCTTGGGAAATGAACTCTTGAGGCGCAGCAACCAAGCAAAAACTGTTCCTTTAACCATTGTTTTGTGGAGATTTTTCTTCTTTTAGATTTAACACTGAAGATTTGTAACAATTAAACCAGAAACTGGTTAGGGTATTTGCTTTAAATATTTTTCTCCTCGAGGATTTAAGCAGGTCTGAATTCATAGCCAACAAGGGGCGTTGTATTAGGGAGATAACATTTTCACTGAAATGTTTGCTTACCATCTTAAGAGTTTGCACGATGGGAGGAATCCAGCAGGATGGCTCACTGTAGTATCAGAAACTCATCCTTGGATAAAATACCCTTTAAATACCTGTTAGTGTATTTAAGCCCTTAATTTTCTCCATGACATACTGCAGAGTGCAAAGGCCGTGGAGGGCGTTTCCTTCCCCATGTGGTGGGACTACTTTAAATCTGTAGAGCAAGTCCTATGAGGCACCACGTGGGTCCTTCCTGCCCAGTTCTAGTTAGTGGGGAGGGTGTAGCTGTAGTGAGCTGGGATGCTTACTGATGTTTTCTAGAGAAATAACAATATGCTGTGATGATACGTACAGGCACTTGGCTTCCAAGCACTCCTGAGTCCGAAGCGTCATGTACAAGAGGCAAAGCAGCACGCTGACAAAGCCTTTTAGTGAAGCTTGTGTTCACATTGTTCACAGAGTGACTGGGGCCTTAGGAGGACAAGAGTTTGCTTTCAGAAAATGTCAAAATGCTACCAAAAAAACTGCGCCCTGCAAAATTTCATTCTTGCTGGGGTGGAGGTTTCAGGGAGAACAAAATGTGCAGCTTGGCTAAGCAGCATCTGTTCAGCCAGAATGTATGGATCACTGCTTAATCTTAGAGAAATTTACCATGATTTTAAACCTAAACGGCCCTATTATGACTAACTGATTCAGTGGAATTTCTACAGCCATCATACAGTTGTGGGAAGGAATATCTTCAGTCTTGTTTTATTTTCATAAAGGTTTTTCTATAGCATCTTTTTTATTGCTACTGCTAAGTCTTTGCTATGATCCGTAATGCAGTGGTATGTGCTGTACTGAAGATTTAAACAAAGTAAAGCAGGAACTTTGATGTAACTTTAATTTATTTTCATTTTTAAGTATTTCATTGATGGTATGGTTGTTTTACATTTAGCCTGTGTGTCTCGCTAGTAGATTACCACACCGTCTTAATTTCCCTCTTGCACTACCTTTTTCCATAGATTATTTTGTAGGATGCTTGTTTGCTTTGTACTTAGGAAAAAACTTGGATGTTATCTCTATAAAGATGCTGTTAGAAAATGAAACCTTGAAAAGTTCTCTTTGGATTTAAACTTTTAATACATGTGGAAAACTTAAGGATTGTTTTGGATTATGATAGTCTTTTTACAGAGATATGTTTTTTTTTTCATTCTAGCTGCAGCTTAAGTTGGTAGGGTTGAAGTACCAGAAGCTAATAAAAAACCTTTTGCTTCTAGTGCTGGCCTCATTTTTCCTGTCCCTTGTTTATGTCCCTCAAGTGCAGAGTTGCTCAGCTCACACAGAAAATCAGTGCCCTGTTCCTGTCTTGCACTCAGGTTCCTGCTCCATGGGAGCAATCACAAACTCACGACAGTTTTGTCTGAATGTGCACCTCCGGTGGAAAGGCCAGAGCTTGCCAAACTTGCTCAGCATAACACCCTTTCTGTTATTTTGGTGCCACTCTACCAAGTCTTGTTTGCATCAAGGGAGAAGGAATTTGGGAAAACATGACAGTGACAGCATAAAATATCATAACATTGTGAATTGGGACTGTGTGGCCCCGGTGTCCTGAAGTTGGTTTGCCAGGCCAATGTGGGGTCCTCCCCTAAGAGTCAGAAGTCCACATCTCTGGGATTTGGTTCAGATTTTGGTGAAAAGGATTTCTTAGATCTCTTTTGAGTGGGAGTAATACTCTTTCTGGACAGTGACTTCTCCACCTGTTACTCCTGAGAGCTCTGATTCCACTTCTTTACTGTTTAAAAACAAACCACTGAGTTATGAAAAGTCATTTGTTTGCAAAATGACATTTCTGGCTCAGCAGCCTCTGCTCTGGCTTTGTTTGGTAAACCATGTTGTGGTTTAAACCCAGCTGGAAATAAAGCCCCAGGCAGCTGCTCCCCCCCTCAGGTGAGAGGGACAAAAGGCTCTCTGGGCTGGGATAACAATTTACGGGAAGCAGCAGTGAGATAGGAAAATGAGCAGTACCAGCAACACCAGCAAGGCCAGCAGTGTAAAACAGAGGGTGGTACCAGCAAAAGGCTCACCGTGTCCAACCCAACATCAGTTTATTACTCCAAACCAAAACAGCTCCGAGGAGCAAAGGCACTTTGCCCCAAGGTGCAGGGACAGCAAAGGGCCTCAGTGTCACCCCTCTGCTGCAAGGCACAGAACACCCACACCCAGGGGACTTGCACAGTTCTCTATTCCGAAAGAAATAAATACATCTACACAAGAAAATTTCAGTTAAGGTTTTCCTCTTGACACATGGTTTTTAACTACAGTCTGTGACAGAATTCAGTGCCTGTCGCTACAAGAATGGGTGTTACAGCACCAGGAAACCTTATTCCCATTTTCTCACTGTGCCACTAAGGGAAGGGGTCTGCTCCAGCCCCCACAAGCACTGGGAGCTCTACCCCTTTAACTACACCCTGCAGCTGCAGCAGTGTACCTGCGTGGCAGGGGAGTCCCGATGTGCCCAGCCCCATCGAGCTGAAGCAATTCGCTGAACCAATTTACATGTATCAGTTCAGAAGTGCTCATGCCTTTCTAAACACACAAACTCGCTCAGCATAACACTCTTTCTGTTATTTTGGTGCCACTCTACCAAGTCTTGTTTGCATCAAGGGAGAAGGCATTTGGGACAACGTGATAGTGACAGCATAAAATATCATAACATTGTCAAAAAAAAAATTGCCATAATCGGTGTTTTTAACCCACTAGTACATTTAAAATGTTATTAAATATCACTTTACCTTTTTTTGTAACGGTTTATCCTCCCTCTCTCCCCCCCCTTTTAATTTAGAAATAAGGTCTAATTCACTTTTTGCTGAAGTGGATAAAAATTACCACAATTACAGAACAGACATCTGGAAGGAAGCATGAAATTTATATCCACCAACTTCGTGGGCCTGATTATGAAGGAAAATGAGAGAGGGTGCACCATCCCAGACTGAAACACATGCACATCTCGAGCAGGCAGAACTCGGGAGCTGTTTCCTGAGCCAGCGCTGCCCCCGGCCCGGGGCTGGGTCTGTGTGCTGGAACATGTGGAGGCAGGACCGGTTCTGGCTCCTGCCGCTCCCGGGGCTGCTCGACCTGTTCTGCAGCAGCAGAGCCCGGCGTTTGCCAAGATTAATCACAGGCAGGGAAAGGCCTGTTAACTACACTCAGGTTATGGCTCAGTTGAAACAATTCCAAAGCTCTCTTTTTTTTTTTTTGAAAATCTGTGAAGTGTTACTATAAAATGGTAACTGCTCTTGAAGCCGAGCAAGAGTAGGTTTCAGAATGCCCAAAGCAGTGAGCCATCCCCTGGGTGTGTTCAGAGAGGCTGAGCCCGTGAGCACTGCCTTGCACTGAAAAAAAAATGAGTTTTAGGGCAATGCCAGAGCAGTCTCTGGGGTCTCTGATCTGCAAAGCTACCAAAGTAAAGCCTGATGTCCTCTGTGCAGGTGCTACATTTCTGAGGTTGAAGGCTTCACCACAGCATGAAGCATCAGCACAGAGGCACGTACAAGCTGCTGATCTCACACCGTCCCCTCCTCACCTCTTCCCCTTCACAGTCAAGAATTCCTGCACTTACCTCCAACAGATCAATGCCAAGAAACCTCTAAAAAAATGTAAATAGGCTTATTTGTTAGTTGAGGGACATTAAACATAAAGAATGAAGTCCTCTGGATTGTTTCACAATATGTTTCTTTGGTCTCCAACACGCAGTTCCTATTCAGCAATGGGTCACCAAGCTGTTATGAATAAAGAGCAGGTTCTTGTCACACAGATCAACCCAGTTAGCAAAAAGAGCTCTCTGTAGAGCAACACATTTGACAATTTTAAAGCAAATTATTTCAGACCGAAATCAAGTTGGGGGTGGGGCACAAAGGCAGCAACACAGTAGTTTCTGACACCATCCGAGCTCCCGTCGTGTTGTGCACCCCATGTGAGACAGGCCCTTGCAGGCACCCAGAAGCTCACAGCTGGTCCCATCACCCATGTGCCAGCTCCCTGGAGTGAGCAGCAGAACTGAGATGGCTCACCCAGATGCTGAGATGAGTGAGTTGATCCCTTCAGAGGGAGAATCCTCGTCTGGCAAGCGGTAACACCCAGAGAGGCCCTGACACTGCTGTGGCTTTGCAGTCAAACTGTGCCTTGAAGACTGAGCAGGAGTCTTATGTAGTTACAGCAACTACATTTTATGATGCAAGAAATGCATTTATTGTCCTGCAGATTGATGAATACCTACAGTAAAGAAAGGTTTCTCTGTGTAATTTAAAGTAATTTAAATCTTGCATGAATGGAAAATAATTTTGATCACTATTAATACGCTTGTAATGTATCCAAATAATATTTATATTATTTAATTCTGAACCAGCTAACACTGAACAATTAAAAATAACTCTATCATGCTGCACAGCATATGCTGCTGAATGACCCTGAGCCCTGAAGCAAAGATATTCTCTTCCTGCAATTTCTAAGGGTTGTGAACACCGTAGCAATCTATGTTTTCAAGGAACAAATAGATGGACAAATCTAATAAGCATGGGGCTGTGGGTGAAGGATCACCCACTACCCAGGGCAGAAAACTCCGGCTAGTGAAGGGTCCAAGTTTGCAGAGCACAAACTGGTAGTGGGGTCAGATAAAGAAGCAGGAACTGGAGCAGAAGAGTACAATGATCACAAAGTTGTCAACATAAATGATGCCAAGGTGAATTTTAATAAAAGTTTGATTCTGTTTACTCCATGGATACTGAAATAAGATCTGTAAGAAAAATAGTGCCATTATGTTCACTGAGAACAACTGATTATTTTTCTTCTGGTTTTCACAGTACTTGTGATGAAATTTAAAAAAGGACTTGAGTACTACAATTGCTGACAGCTTTCAGCATTTGGTATTTTAGAGTCTCGATCATCAACATCCAGATTTAATTGCAAGAAAAGTCTGAGTTGAGATGTGACAGAAGTACAAGCCCCACTGATAATGCAGCAGGGTTATTTAGGTGGCACTTGGTCATGTAAACTGCCGACTGCAAGCAGCAGCAGTGGAGTTACCTGGTATCAAGTGCTGAAGCCTTCTGCCTTGGATTTTAGTGAACGAATTATTCCAGGTAATTGCCTGCCTGCCTCTCTTGCTATTAAGAATTGGATTGACTTTATTTTCTACGCTGCAGCATCGAATCAGAACGATGACTGATTAGTCGAGGCAGTAAGGATCATTCCGGAGTTCACTGCTTTGGGCTGGAGAGGCAGTCAAACGACTTGGCACTGCCTTGGCCTTCAGCCATGAAAGCCTCTATTTCCTCCACAGTACGTGGGACACACGTGAGCAGCTCCATTCCAGTGGCTGTCACCGCGATGTCGTCCTCGATGCGGACCTGTCACAGAGAGCACACGGTTACGGGGCAGTCCAGCTGGGGTGAGAGGCTGTGCAGGCTCCAACACCGGCCCCTGCCACCCTCCTGGGGTCACACAGGCTTGGGGGTGACCCCTCAGGTGTCTCAGGCGGTGCCTCTGGGCACAGCAGGGACAGGCTGAGCCAGATGCTGCAACAGGGGGCTGCAACGTGGGGCCAATAAATCTCAAATCCCTGACATCAGGAGCAGTAAAAGGAACATTCTCCCCTGGATTTGCCTCCAGCATTGCTAGCACGTGGCTTGCTAAGGACTGCGCCTCCTGATGCCCACAGTGCCTGTTCTCAAAGCTGTCCTGTTCTGCGCTGCAGGCAGCTTCTCTTTGCACTTAAACATTTCTGTAAACTCAATAAATTTCCAAAGAAGGGACTGCAATATGAAATAGCTTGTAGCTGATATTCCAAACATCGAATTTTGAGCTGATGAGAAAGTCCTAAGCAGGTCAGACATTCCTTTTAAAATACAACCACTACATTTCAACTCATGGAAGGAAAAAGCAGATCCTCTCAGTTTTCCAGCTCTTGTTCTTGTTCTGAAAAGCGTGCTCCATTTCTGTTTGACTCTAATCTCTTCTTACCAGTAAATGTGCCTACACAGTCATTCCCGTTATCTTATCAGAAAAATGTTGCTAAGTCCCTAAGCTGCAATAAAAGCAATTTTAGTAAGGTGTAAATCCAAGAGAACACAAACCCGGGGTACTCCCACCTTACAGTTGCTTTAATTGTTTCTGACCTCTTGACATTTTCAACTAAAAATAAAGCTGGTTAACATTTGTACTTCTGATTGCAAAATAATCCGTTTGTTCAAACAGAGTGAGTCATCCAGTCCTTATTAAACTGTTTAATGATGTCTTTGCCAGATTATTGCTTTTACTTGGTATCAAGTTAAGTGTATTATAAAGCAGAATTAAATAAACGAACTCCATTGAGTTCACACATTTGCTTTGGACAGCTGACTCTGCCTACACAGAGAGCACCGCCAGCTTAACAAACCTTCCCTTGCTTTAGCTGAAATTTCCCAGTGTGTCTGCTACAGAGACACATCAGCCACAGCTCATCTGCTTAACCAGTAAAATTAGCGAAAAAAAAAGTTAAAAATATAGTTTGTGCTTTTCAGCTCAACATTTCATGCCTTCACTGATACCTCGACACTCTTTGGGAGGGATGGACTGACTTGAAAGCAGAGCAGATGAAAGCCTGACAGTGATGGCGAAGAACAAGTGGGACAAGGTGTCAGTCCATGCTGTACCGTATCTAGACCACAAGAGAAAATCAGGATGGAGAAGGGAGCTGGAAAATAAAGTGATGAAAGAGACCAGGGAAAGGAAGGCACAGTGAGGATCGACAAAGAATGGACAATTATTCCATTGGGGCTGGAATGATGGGGAGAGATGGGGCTGGCTAAGGAGTCCAGGAAGGGAGATCCTGGGGGAGATGAGAAGTGAGACATCCTGAATGAGGAGAGCACACAGGGGGCTGGAGCTGCCAAAGGTGGGGAACTGAGAGTGACCAAATGGGGGAGGGTGAGTGCCACACCAGCCTGCTCACCACCAGCAACTCCAGATGGCCTTTGGGACGTAGATGGAGGTACATAGAGCCACTGGTCCCACACGGCCTTACCCATTCACTTGTAGGAACACACCAGCTCTTTCTCAGGATCTAACCCTTCCTCTACTGAGAATGAATCTCACCTGAAATAGGTGATTGCCACAACAGAGAAGACAAGTTTCCCACTCTCAGTGCAACTTTTCCTTTGCCTAAAAGCAGCCTGACTGCAGAGGAACGCAGGCTCTCAAGGAGAAGGAAATGGTTTAGCTTTCTCTTTTCCCCCACACCCTCCATGCTTCACCCTGAGCTTAAACTCAGCAGCAGCAAGAAGCAGCTTCAGAGGACCTGCAAAACCTTCCCTACAGGAGAGCCCATCATTTGATCTTGTCTTCTGTCCAAATGGACAAAAGATGCCGGATCTGCCTGGCAAGGCTCGCCGGCTTGGGACTGCCTTTCCCAGTGGGGACAGTGATTGTGAAACTTGCTCTCAGAGCTGTCCCTTTTTGCAGGCTCTTTGTTCATCAGTGCTGCTTGTTTCAGGGCTACAGAGTGGTTTGGAATCAGGCACAGCCTGAAGGAAAGCAAACTGAAGTGTGATGTTTGCTGCACCCCCAGCTTTCAGGGCATCCTGCAAACACCCCAGTGGAGGTTTTGCTTTTTTGGTGTGAAATGGCACACTTCAAAAAAAGCACTCCTGCAAAGATGCAGTGGCTAGGAACACCAGGACCGTCCCTAAAATGCCTTTTTTTTTAATCAAGGCTAGTGGCATGATATGTCTAGATAGACCTGATTGCACAACTGCCCAACACCAGCAACAGGCCATCATGTGGCTCGACTCAATGGTCCCAACTGTGTCCCAAAGCAGGGCTGTGTGGGCACAGCCAAGGACAGCACAGGAGTTAAATGGCTGCTGTCAGCTCTGAACGCAGCCTCGCACTTTGTCCTGACTTACTAATACAGTCATGCTCCCCAGGGCCTCCTGGGTTACCTTCCAAGGGAAGGGGAGTTGTAGAACTCATTAATTTCTTTTGGATGACGATATATATAAAAGACTTTTGAGAATCAAGAAACGATTTTGGCCAATTAAATAGTCCAGATTAGCATGATGACAGATCCCAGATGTCAAAAAAGGCAACTGGCGAAATGTCTCCTTTTTTTTTAAATCTATTGAGCATTTGTTTGATTATGGGTGTAGAAAGCAGCAATACTATCACTGCAGGACTTTAGGATGGGACACTGGCCTGGAAAGTGATGCCAGGACATGGCCACACGTGGTGCCACACAAAGGGAACTAACACACGTGCCCCAAGTGCTTGTTCCTACAGCTGGTGTCCTACAGAGGCACACGAGTGTGGCCAAGGGGACTTGCTTTGACTCGGCCATCGACTTGCCAATCATTTTTAACAGAGCAAACCCGCAGAGTTTGACTTCTGTATCACAGAGGGACTGGTTGGGAAACAGAGCTGCCCTCACATCAAGCCCAGGGACAGGCAGTCACACACGTGGTGGCACCAAGATGTTTTCTGTAGAGGCCAACAGGCTCTGTGCTGCACAATGACTCTTTCTCACCCCATGCTGCTCGTCTTCCTGCCACAAGCAAATCTTATTCACAAGTAAATCCTCAAGCAAGTCAGGAGAACATTTATTTCAAATGTTCACATAGGAACATTTTATAGAAGTGGATCAATTGTTGGTAGGGTGAGGCCACGTATTTTATCAGATCGACTGATATAGCTGTGAAAAAAAAAAGCTTCAGGTGCCCAGCCCCTTCATCCAGGCTCAAAAAGAAGCAATCAACTACTGGTTAGGAAGAACTGCTCTTACCTTAAATTAATTATATTAATTCGACAACTTCAGAGAAAATGGTTATAGAAGGTTTGTAAGCAACTAGTAGCAGTTTTTGGGTTGCCTGCACCTATCAGTTCCCTTAAAGAGCTTTAAAGAAAGCCAAATATCTCCATTGTGACAACTGCTTTCCTAGGAAAACTCTGGAAGAAATGCTGTGTAGCACTACTACTGCTACATAATATGTAATGCTAAAAAGCAGATGAGCATATTATTCTTGCCTAGTAAACTATTTCATTTCACCATACACTTTCACCATAAACCCAGAAACAGATCTTAACCTGCTGAAAAATAAAAATCAGGACAGAGACAACTACATGGCTCTCTGAAACAAAAGCAGAAGCAGCTAAATATCCTGCTTTTTATTTGGTTTAACATTTGTTCTGAGTAAGGGAAGTACTATTGTTTTGGAAAATACTGTAATATTAGCAGATCTTCAAGTTCCTGGGCTTTGTAAATCTGTTTAAGTTTTAAATGAGAAGAATCTACAAACAGAAGAAAGTAATATCTATTTGACATTTATCTGTCTTTCAGTATTTTCCCAGAGTCACTTAGGGCTTTCACATATTAAGTCTAGTGCTAGCTCTACAAATCCTAAGGAAAAATAAAGCCTGAACAGACACTGAATGTGTAAGGCCAAAAAAAAAAAAAAAAGACTGAATGGTTTCACTGTGTCTTTGAGAAAACATCATATGAACTGCATGAATCAGTAATCAGCTTAGGAAGAATGGAAATGTCAAACCCTAAAGGGCAGCATTTGCAGTCGGTATTTCCCCTTCCCCGAGGATTCAGCTGCTTTTCCCGAGCAGGCTGTACAATCCCAGGCACATCCCTGTGAGTGCACAGCCTGTTCTCTGAGGAGCCCAGGCAGACAGAGGTGCCCTGGGACAGGGCAGGCAGCCCTTCCCCAGAGAACGGATCACCTCAAGGACGGAGCTCAAGCGAAGAGTTTGGGGCTGCAGACAGGGCGGCATCCCCAGCACACCTGCTCTCCTGCCCCCAGAGGGATCTGCTTGTTTGGTAAAAGCCCAAGTCACGAGGTCCCCAAGCAGCAGGGACAGCCACAGAGGCTGTGTCTGTGCTGGAGGGATGAGGAGGGTGGCCCTGTCCCACGTGTGCAGAGCAGCAGAGGGAACCTCTCGCCGTCCCTCGCTCTTCCCTGCTCCTGCAGCTTTGACAGTCTCTTCGTGGCTGACACCAGGCAGCACGAACTACAATAAATGGCTACAGGCTGGTCCTTTTGGGCACGGCACAAGAATTTGGCTTCTCAATGCAGAGACTTGTCAGAGTCAAGAAAATTATCCGAAGCCCAAAAAAGACACGAATTCAAGGTGAATTAATTAAAATCCACCGTGTGGACAGTCTTACTCAGAATTACAGTGGTGTTACTTTGGTGAATGTAAGTTCATTTTTGAAGTGAATTAAACTAAACCAAATTAAGAACATTTTAATTAGTGCTAAGCTTTGTAGAGGGAAATGGACTACTTATTTCCTTTTGTAGAATGTATTTTTTTTAAAACTTGAAGGAAGGTTGGACTGGCTGTAGTGAGCTCTTTAGCTAGAACTGACACCAATACTAACCCCTGTACCATTAATATTTCTCAGTAAAAACACTGGGCTCCACAAGATCTTTTTTAATCCCATAGAAAGCAAGCTTTCTGGCATGCTCTTGAGAGAAAGATTCATTCCCTCTGGATAACCTAGAGTGGAACAGCATGTAGATAACTAAGCATGCTACACAGCACAAACTGCATCTTCTATTTATGCAGAATCAAATCAGAATTGTAAAGATGGAAAAATTTATTTTGATTGCAATATAATTCAGCTTTTTTGTAGCATTCAGAAATATTCAGATGTACTTCAGTCTCAGATTTTATTTTCATTCTTCTCCTGGACAAAATCAAGTGACAACATCTGGCTCAGGGTACGTGTGTGTTATTATTTTTTTCTCTCTAAGTAAAATGTATTGTTCACAGGGGGATTGGAGATTTAGATTTTTGCTCAATCGTTTTTGGGCAGCTCCCCCTTTTAGCAAAGTTCGTTGGCTAGTGCTCCTTACAAGTCATCATTACAGGAAGCTAGGCAAAAAACAGGGGAGAAAGTTAGGCTTTGCTTGAAATCTCTGGAACAAAAGTGCCTGATCCAGCAATTTATGAGCAAAGTAGAGATCCTGTGCTGTTACTCCTATTCCTTGCAACCACAGGCAGCAGGTGAGCCACGGGCACACCTCGAGCTGCAGTGGGCATTCCCAGCAAGTCGGGGAAAAACATAAGCTTTGCTGAGCAATTCCACAGAAAACTCACCAGAAATCAATTCAACTGCCAAAAAATTGCCATTTACAAGGAAAGCAAAGACAGTTAAACCTGCTTGCATTATGGTGTCAACCTACACAAGCAGAGTGCAGCGTTCCTTTAAAACACACTTCGGTGTGAGGTGCTGTACAGAAAGTGCTCACAGTCAGAAAATGCAGAGTCAGCTGCCTTTCCTCCACCAGTGTCTCAGCTGGCTGGCTGGCAAGTCGTGATAAAGAAACAACACAGAGACAGACACTGTCCCAGAGCTCAGCAGCGAGTGAAGCATCAGCAAGGGTGATGTCCCATGCCTCTGGATGAGGCTGCACACCCACCCCAAGTGGCTGCCCAGGAGCCCGCCTGGCTCACACTGCTGGTGGGGGCACACACAGCTCTGCTGTCAGGGCTGGTGGCTCAAAGGCAGCACAGACCAAAGTGCTGCAGCAATTACCCTCTCACGGCTGGGGTACAGTGATAAATTAGTCAATGGCAGCAGCAGACAATTCCTAATGAGTGACTTTTCATACCAGAAAATCACCGCTGCTGCCAGTGATTGTTAGCTGCGTTGAGACTGAGCAGAAGAGCCATGAGGAGGACGGGGCATGGCAGCTGCCTGCTCTATCTCCTCTGTGCAGGAACACAGAAGCCTGGAGACCAATGTGGCACCGTTCAAAGGCTTGCCCTGCTGAAATAAAAACCCACTGGAAGCCACTGCAACTTCTGAGCGCTCTGTGAGGGCGGTGGCTTTGAATGGGATATGCGCCCTGGAGAGCGAGGACAAACAAGGCCTCTCTGCTTGCCCAGCAGCTGGGAATGGTCACCCAGATCACCTCTACCTCCCGAGCTGGCCAATCTTCCTGCACACACGCTGCTGCCTGAGCTGTCACCCTGAGCACGGGTGCTTGGGAAGACCATCAGCCGTTCTTTTGGAAAATAGGGGAAGGCTTTACGGGCACAGGTTTCATGCCTTTCTGTCAAATCCAGTCAGAGCAATTATTGCTGATTTTACCTGCTGCCTCCCCAGCTTGAACAGCATCGAGCTCTTCTGCCTCGGAAGGAAGCACTGGACTGTGCTGCTGTCAAGGAAGCCAACTCTGGGCTGCAGATCTCAGTCTTGTATTTCATAAGATCCACGTTTCACACATTAGACAGAACACCCACCTGGCACTGTATAGTGCTGACAGAGGGTATTTCAGTCAGCTGGCAAATAGGGGTCTATTGTTAATCAAACATCACTAGTACAAAATCGCATTTAAAAATCAGAGTTAAAAAAGCCCAGTTTGTCTGCAGGGTGAAATGGTCCAAATGACTCAAGGTGCTGCTTCAGGAGCAGTCCTCATGTGCAAGACGTTACAACTTCCAAAAGACTTCTCCTCAAGTAGGTAGTGAGGGCAAACAGAGAGAAAGCCAGTTAATAAAAGCCCCCGGTTGAGGGTTACTCACCCCGCCGAACCCCCTGAAGCGCCGCAGGACGTCGTTGTTGATGAAGCAGGACTGCGCAGGGTCGCGGAGGGCCTGGTCCAGGAGGTGGTCGATGAAGTAGATGCCCGGCTCGACGGTGAGCACCATGCCCTGCTCCAGGCTCCGCGCCGTGCGCAGGCTCCGCAGCCCCGGCAGGTCGATGCGCTCCACGCCCTGCACGAGAGACACGGGGGCTGGCACACAGGACAGCGAGCCACGGGTGGCCTCGTGCCAGGTGTCAAGCCCTCCTGTGCTGACCACCCCGTAAGACACACAGAATACCAGAAATAATCACAAAGGACTGAAACTGAGCTATGCCATCACCTCCCTCCTATCAGTCCTCGTGCAGCTTTCACCCAGAGCAATCACCAGCTTTCAACTCAACACCCAAACTGCTTTTTGCACCACAGAAATCCTGGGTTTTGACATGGTACTGTTGCTCTCTACCTTGGGGGAAATACTGCACTGCAAAATAAAAATAATTACTTGCACTACTCCTTTCTCTGCCCTCCCTTGCAGAGTACGGTATTTTAAGTGACATGCAGATCTTGAAATGCCCCTGCCACGTCATGGCTGAAATAGCTGAACTATGCAGCAGAGAAGAATTTCTCCAAGGATATGCAAATACTTATTCTCACCGAACATTATTAAAATTACACATTTATGATCTTGATTCAGGAGCAATGAGTCTACACATGACCTCATAAAAGCAGCCCATTTAAAACTAAACTTTTGTCAGATTCAGACTTTCAGGCAACATGGTGCTGATTGGTATTATTAAAAGCTAAGTCAAAACAAGCCCTGACTAGCAAAACATTCTCTTCTTCCCAAAAGCTGGTAAAGTAAAATGATATATGAGGACGTGCTTAGTCAAGGAATTAGAAACACTGCAAAGACTAGTTAAGGATATTAATTTTCTTCCCTCAAATGTGCCAGGTATTGCAACATCGGAATAAATATATCTCGGTCCCACTAGCTTTTTGAAAATTCTTTGCAACTGTAGCAAAATTTCACCAACAAAATATCACGATGACCCGTAAACAGCTCTGGGCCCACCAGCTTGCAAACATGCACACACCCCCTCTGCTCATGAAACCTTTTCTGCTTTGGCCAGCGAGCCAGAGAGACCACGGCGTTATTTATCCGGTCTCCATGCAGCCTTCCCAAATCTTGCTTCTGGTCCAAGCCAGGGTAATTTTCCTCGTGGGCAGGAGGGGCGGCTGCTGTCAGCATCTCTAGGAGCGTGACTGGTATCACGAGGATGAAACATCCCCTTCCTCCCAGACACAGTGCCCTGCCCAGCGCTGCCCTCGGTGCCGGGGCCACGCCAGTGCAGGGGCACAGGGGGTGGCCACAGCACACCCAGCAGATTGCCCGTGTTTTCATCTTACTGAATCATTCCCTCTTCAGAGCGGGCACAGCCCTGCAGCTCTGTTTGCTCTTGAGTTACACTTTCAGTTCAGAGAAAGCCCATTTCACAGGCACGCTGCTTGCAACAGCCCCTCAGCAGCGCTGGCTTTATCCTTGCTGGTCACCCAAGCAATGCTGGGGTGGTCTTCTTCCCTTTGCAGAGCTTTTTCTGTTCCAATGCACAGCATCTCACGGCAGCCAAGATTTTTCAGAGCTAACCAGCCTGGACATCTGGAGGCAGGTTTGCCCATTTTCACTGTGTATTCAGTATGTTTTATGTCATATGTTTGATTTGGACTTTGCAGAGCACTGCTTTACATTAAAAGAAGAAAACACAATTTTGTTTTACTGAGCCCAGGAAACCAGAATGCTCTGATATTAAGCAAGGCATTTTGCATTTATATTCTTATCAAAACCCCCAGAAAATCAATATATTTCTAAACTTGAAACAATAACTACACTGAAATGGAGCCATTTTTCTCTCTGCTGCTGCCCCATGGGGTTTGGCATTTCACACATTCATTGTAATGCGTAAAGGAAATGAGGGCATCCAATCTTGTGGATTAATCTCTCCATGAGCTGTAAACAATTAGATTAGTGTCTGGACCTTTTGGTGTCTTGCCAGCTATCTATCGGCTGCTTTACAACAAAAAACCCATATTTGGCTTTTAAAGTCCACTTCTCCTCAATTCTACTTGTAAATGCCTTTTCCAAGGCAGTCAATCCAAGACAGATGCTCGAGAGATGAATGCGCAGCGAGGAAAACAATGGCAAACATCCTCTGAAGGCAGCCCTGGCACAGCCTCCACATTTTTTTGCCTCTTCTTAAAAGAAATGATGTTTAACACCAGGTGTGTCAATCAAGCCTCAATGCCCACTTCAGCCATTAAAGCATCACATAGACACTTTGTCTAGACTGCTCCCACTCTGATCCTGCTGTTAGTCTGCCCTCCAAGAAGCCAACAGCACATCCACAACTCAGCAGCAAGCCCCAGACTCACATCGGAAATGTCCCCCAGCACTGCAGGCTCCCCAGGCTGTTACCAACACAGGGAGGGTCCCCAAGGCACCTCAACACTGCTGCTCACCCAAGAGTAAAGTTTTAACTTCTCTGGAAGGAATTCATGAACTCTATTTGTTATTCCCCCCATCCTGTCTCAACTCTGGGTGGTGTTGGCACTTGAGTTCATCTCCAGGTCTTTGGATTTTGCATGTACTGAAGCAGCTACATCTCTGCCATGAAAGCATCTCTAGCGGGCCTTCAGAGAAAGGGTAACACTGCTCAGCTTTGCAAAGCTGAAGAGCAAGCAGGGCACCAGAGGGTGGGCTTGTGGCAAGGAGGACCTACAGTCCCTTTTAACAGAGGATAGCAAGGTGTTCACCAAGAGATGTGGGGCAGGAATGAAGAGAGACACAGGTGGTGGCTGTGGATGTCCGTGGCCACTCACACTGAGCAGGGGACAGCCCCAGTGCGATTTGCTGCGAGGTTGAAGGGCAAAATGAGCTGGCACAGGGAAGAAGCAGAGCAGGGAAGTGACCAGGCTGGGGAGATGACAAAATCCCTTCTTCTGAGAACAGTGCTGGATTTAAACATACACCAGATTATGGCTTCAGCATCCCGTGTGGCATCTGATCTCTGGGCACTCGTGACCATCCCTGTAGCCACCATGCCCAATCAGGTCCAGGGGCTGACAGTTGTCAGCTCTCAGTTTGCTTCAGTTTAAGAAAAGTAGGACAAATTGAGGATTTTTTTTTTGAAATGACTGAAACACCACGACCCCCAAACAGAAGCTGACAGGTCTGAAGCAGGATCTGCTATTTTCCATCAAGTCAAACTCTACTGGAAGCAAAGATGGGGAAACCTCTCACTGCCATCCATCAGTATGACTCTTCTGCCATTAACGGATTTTCTTCTTCGTGAGGAGGAGACTTCCCCACATTTCTCAGCTAAACAGCACAAACTTTGTTTTCAACAATAACCACGACATTGTTTTGTAGTCAGATGAAACGAAGAGTAAAAATGTGGGTGCTGGTGCAGCAACTCTGTGGGTATCTGTTTCTGTTTCCATAATATCCTGGAGGCCTGGCCATGGAGCAGGACTTTGTTGCACTCAGTGCTGCACAACATGAAAGCACAAACTGATAATCTGCTCCCCCCAAAAAGTATAGAGAATAGTCTAGAAAATATTAATGCCTAGGCATCTGAAAAGGTACTCCCAGCTATATTCTGGGAAAATTACTTTTTGAATAACTTTTTATTCTCCTGTATATTGCAACAACAGACTGCATCTGAAATTGTTTTCTAAGACGGATTTTATTTGGAGGTACTGCTCACATTTTAAAATTGAGACACTCCTCCCCCAGTAAGCACAGATGTATGACACTGTCATTTGTGACTGTACTCCTGCCAAGAACATTGGATTCCAATTAATGGTTCATCTAAGGTAACAAAAAACAGCATGTCTAGGCAATAAGGAGTGTCAAGGGAACAAGAGAATTATTATGTAAACTGATTTCATTACTATGTAAGCAAAATAAAAGTTCAAATTAAGTGTAGAGTAATATAAAATATAGATCTATTTTTGGAATAAGCAGGGAATTAGGAAGTATGCAAATCCGCCTACCCCCCAGAAAAATGGCCATGGAAGGCTGGAATTTGCAATATTCCCAGAATATCTCAGTGTAAGGATGAATTATTCCCTATACTCAGTATAAGGATGAACTGCTCCTAAGCAACCTAGTGGTTAGTGGAGGTATCTATTGCTTTTTGCGTGGAAGAACTGCAGTGTGTATCACAATGGATCCTGTTCCACAGACACTGGCTACCAGGCAAAGCCATCAGAGGCAGAGATAGCTCCAGGCTCACCTGAGCTGGTCTGATCTTGGGTTTTTGTCTGGACCAGGACAGAAGAAAACCACAGGTGATGTCCCTGTGCTGGCTGCTCATCACACACAGGGCCATGACACTACCTAGAGGTGCCCAAGCACAGAGATGCAAGGACACCTTTTCCCCCAGAACCAGGGGCTGCAGAGCTCAGCTGGCACCACCCAGCAGTTCCCTCTAGCAATGGCAGCAGCCACAGCCACAGCCACAGCCACAGCCACAGCCACAGCCACAGCCACAGCCACAGCAGGCAACACCAAAGCTACTCATAACTGCAAATACTGACCCACCAAAGCTACTTATAACTGCAAATACTGACCCCCAGGAAAAGACTCAGGTAGAGACACAAACTGGTTTCTGGTAGTTTTTGAGCCTGACAAACAGACTGTGCCTGTTGGAACACATCCAGTACACAGTGAAGTCCCAACCACTTTACCGAGCTAAGTGCAATCAAGTATTTCAATTAATCAGCACACTAAGATTACACTTAGATAATATGAAATGAAACACCGAAGTGAAATCTCAGCTCTTTCACTCCTCCCTATTCTCCCACTGCACATACCCAACTTCTAATTAGCTGATTTACTGCAAAAAGGAACGGAGCTGTGTGCAGCTAATAAAATAAAAGTCCCGAATTCTATTTCACTTGTCTCCTGCTCCCTTCTCTCCAAGCCCTTGTTTCACTTGCTGAGTGTTACTAATGAAGATTAGTTTATTCAATCTATCCTGCTTTTCCCCAGCAGCCTGAGCTGCCTGCAGTCACCTGAAGGAACTGCTGTGACTCCTGCCTTTGAAATCAGCAGCAGGTTCCTGGAGAATACGCCCCAAGCACCACAGTATCACTTGTGGCATTTGCAAGTCAAAGCTTCCACTTCTGCAG